ATCCTTTTTCTACATTAAACCACCAGGCCGTGGCTCTGCAGAAGATCAGACGCCAAGAACTAATTTCTTTTTTTTCCCTCTCTCTCCTTTTTGACTGATACCGCTCCTTTTTTGGGAAATTGAAGCCAAAATTACTTTGAAAAGGTATCAGTGGAAGATGGAAAAGGAAGCCTTGGGGGTAAAGGAAGGGAATTTCCTCTTTATTTTCAAATGCCCGTACCTGCACTTGCATCTTTAAAATGCACGTGTGACACGGCACCACAGTAGTTCAATTTTAGGAAACCAATTGTTGGACAGTTAGTTCCAGGAAAGCACATGCAAGATTTAAGGATCTTTGCACAAGGATTCCCTGTCTGCAGTGGGAACTTTTCCTCACGTCCCAAGCTGTTTCCTGGGGTAGGTCAGCCCTGTTTACATGTTCCAATGCTTATAGGAATCATGAAGCCATAAAACAAAGAATTAGTGCAGGAAGTCCAGACTGGAACTTTTCCCTGTAGGGTGCCCATTCTGGGGGGAAGGTAGCAGAAAGAGTGTGCCCCCATGTGGCAAAGGCGAGGCACTGCATCTTTTAGCCTCCGGAAAAGAGTACCTAAACTTGCGTGAAAAGGAAATGGTTTCGCAAATGACAGGCTTAGAAATAAGCAACATACCCTCATTAAAAACTAGAGTGACAGAGGCTAAGAAATCTAGAAAATATTTCTGTAGTTTTAATGAAATAGAATATGAAACTGTACCTTAAAATGTATAATCAATAGTAATAGCTAACATGAATTGTGCCTTTCATGTGCCAGACACTGTGCCAAGTGCTTTACATATATTTTATTTCTCATAACAACCTTACTAAGTAGATACGATTATTAAACCCATTTTACCAGAAAGGCACTGAGGCATATAGACAGCATTTGCCTGAAGCCTGATGGCTGATGATTGACAGAGCCACAATCCCACAGTTGACAGAACCACAATCCCGTGGTTGACAGAGCCACGATCCCAGCGTTGACAGAGCCATGATCCCATGGCAGCCAGTGAGATCCAGCATCTGTCCTTGTCACCATTTGCACTGACTGCAAATATGCAAAGCTCAGCGTGCACAAACTGGATAAGGGTAGGGACATGACGGTCATTGTGTTAGGGATCTTGGGATTTTTTTCCTCTCTGACCAATGGTGTTTAATGCGGTTATGTTTATAGCTTTACAAAAGGGAAACAGCATGGGACTTGTGGATAGGTTTAGAGACAGTCGTAGGCTTTAGTTTTCGATGTCTCTGAGCTGAGGGTTCTTCTGCGAAGACTGGGAGAACCACCCTGGCTCTTTCTTCAATTTCCAGGTGACTGTCAAAAAGGGCCTCCGTGGGGCTTGGTTTCTGTGTGTACCAGCATTGACGCTAACCAATGTTGAGTACTTATTTCATGTTCAAATTCGGCATCAATGATGTAAAGGAACGCATGCTGATCTATAAATGGTTAAAGAAACAGAACGGAATTCTTAGCAAGCATTGTCACCCTCGTGGATAATTGAATTTCTTCCCTCAGATTATTCTGATTCTCTGGAAGACAAGAAGGGAGGGAAAATCCAAGTCATTGGCCCCCCCCGCTTTCCCTGCTTTCCGTCGACCTTTCGATTTTATTTGTGCGTACGGAGTGCACAGTGACTACTCTTCATTGTATGTTTTGTAAGAAGTGTTTTCCCAGGGATTTGAAGTTTTCTGCCTTTAGCCGATGAGGATTTGCCTGTTCAACCAAATCATCTCCAGTGATATCCTGGGGATGTTTTTTAAAGTTCTCGTGGCTGGTGATCTGTTCGTTAGTGTTGCCGTACTCACTGGAGGCCCGAGCTTCCGTCGTGGGGCCTGTTAGGTTCGGTCACATCATCACAGGGACAGAAAACCTCCTGTATTCCTGGTGGGACTAGGCCTATGCGTCATGGCACAGAAGGGTTGGCACAGCATTTATCCAGGAAGGTGTTCTCAGTGTGAGGTCCTGGAACCCCAGAAGGATTCACAAATTATTTTAAAATCATCAGTCAGTGTATTTGTTTTGCTGGAGAGAAGGTTGCAGCTTCCCGTACTTCTGAAAGCAGTTGCTGACCCAACATGGTTTAGAGCCGCTGATCTAGAGACTTCAGGGCATTTCTCTTCTCAGGGGAGGAAGTCAAACCCTGGGGCGGGGGCTTCCCGAGGCCGCGGGGTTCGCTGATGGCGCCCTGGCCTGTGCCTGCTGGATCCTTGGCTGCTTTTTCTCTCTGATACAATGTGCCCGGACAAGAATGATGTCCCTTGTTTGGGAGAGAAAGGAAACCAGGAGACAGATGTGTCACATGAGGTCACCCCGTGATTCACTGGGAAAAGCGAGCCTTGGACTGGTCCCTCTGTTGTTGCACTGTGGTCCTCACTCTCAAACGCAGTAACGCGGCGCCCCTCTGGCCGAGAGGAAGTGGGGGGACAACAGGCTGAGGCCCAGCAGTGGGTCCCTCTTTGTGTGGATTCTTAGATGCTCGAGTTTAAATTTTAAAACAGGTTTTTTTTGTGTTCTTTTTTTATGAGGATCCACTTTGAAGTGGTCCCTTTCTTCCTTCCGGAAAAAACTGTAAGCCCGGTTTGCTTGTGCGGTGTTACTAAGTTATTTCCTACTTACCGCTGCTCTACGCTTAGAAACAGTAGGCCTAATGGGTTAAAAAAGACCGTATTCATGAAACGTTTTTGGGTTTGTCTGTGAGTGGGAATGATGGTATGAGGTGTCCCCTGAGTCTTGTCCGCCTCTGATGTCACTGCCACTGCCAGCTCCCTGGATGGACCCTCTCTGCCACCGAACCATCTCTGAACTAAACATCTGGGGTTTCAAGCCCCTAAATGTCATTGCAGTGACTGCTCCCGCTCTTCTTTTCAGCGAGCAAAGGAGCAGGTGAACACTGTCCCCCTCCACCCCCAGTCACGCACGGGGCCTGGTTAAGAGGTGGCCTCGGGAGGCAAAGGACCTTGGCCTGACTTCTGAGCTCTCCTGGAGGACGGAGTGACGTGGGACAGTTACTCGCTCTCTGCTCTTCAAGGGCCTCATCTGTTAAAGGGAATCTCTGCTTTAACATCTCTGCTTCACAGGGCTTTTGTAAGGATTGAGGATTATTAAGAGAAGTCCTCAGTGTCACCCACTAGCCAGGGTCACTGATTCCATTTCTGAACTTGACATCGGCTGTCCCTTTCCTGAATGTCCTTCCTCTTTGCCCAATCGTATTTCAGAAGCGGCCCGACCGTCCCTCTTTCAGGAAGTCTCCTGGGTCCCGGGCGCTCTTGCCCACTCCTACACCCCACACCGGGCATGGTAGTCCCCCCCGTGAAGCGGTCATCCTTTGCCCACGGCGCGGGCATTTTCCCTGATGGCGTGCGATGGTTTAACCAGCCTTAGCCGGAGAGGCAGGAAGAGTTATCGCTCAGGATGACTCCCGCCTTCTCTGTCGTGATTTATTTGGACTAATTTTCCTCGTTGCAGACTCATTAGCGGTGGCTTATTTAACTTTCCTGAGTGCATCAGGCGTTCACCCCGTCCCATTTCCCGCTAGAGAAGGCTCGTCAGTCGTCACATATTGGGACCCCGGGGGGAGGCGTGCTTCTTCACGTCCGTTTCTGACCCCGTGTGCTTCCTGAGCTCCGGGTCAGCCCATGTGTGGTGCGGGAATTTGCTCGCGGTGCTCCCATCTTGTCGGCGCTCTCTGCATTATTTGCAGGAAATTCAGAGTCCAATCCTTTCGTGATGATGACAAAAAGAAATGCAGCCTTCAGTGCTTGTTAGAGACGGCGTCGCTGTGCCCCTTAGATTTAAAGGAATTGATTCGTCTTCCGTGCCTGTCATCTCTTAAATTATAAAAATCCAAAGGGAAGAGTCTGGGGGGATTTTTGTTTTGTTGTTGTCACTGTCGTCAGCCCATGAGGGTCAGAATATCGTACGGCACCCAGGCTGCCACCTGTCTGTCCGTCTGTCTCTTTGGGTGCACAATTTCTCATCTCTCCTTGTCTGTTTCTGCTTCCTTCTGTCTGTCTGTCAGGCTGCTTCCTTGTTCCCGTCTCGCGTGGTGCATCGCGGCTGCCCTTCCATGGCATGAACTTTTGGAACGGGACCCACACTTGAGGCCCTGGGTCCTGCCCCATTGTAGCCCCTCATCCCTGGGGAGAGAGTCTGATTGGCCGAGCCTGGCATTTGAATCGGTTCCTCATGAGTCAGTGTGACCAGGAGAGCTGGGTCACCTGGGATATAATTTTGTAGGGCTGCGGGGGAGAGGGACATGTGACAACAGCCGCAGTCCACGCACACAGCACTTAGCACAGTCCAGTCACTTTCATTCGGTCTCTCATTTAATCCTCACAAAACCGCTGTGGGATAGGTCCTGTCGCCCCGTTTCATGAATCGGGAAACTAAGGCACAAAGGTTAAACAGCCTGTTCAGCCCCACACGGCTGGTAAGCGGGCGAGTCGGCACGTGAGCAGGCAGCCTGCTTCCAGAATCCATGTTTCTGATCGCTACGCAGCATTGCTTCTCTTACGTAGGCATTGCTAATGTGCCCCGTTTTCACCCTTTTTACTGTGTTTCCCTGAAAATAAGACCAGGTTTTATATTAATTTTTGCTCTAAAAGGTGCATTTTATTCCTTTATTCATGTACAAAAATCTACATTTATTCAAATACAGTCATGTCTGGCTGACGATCTTAATGGGGGCGTATGTTTGGGGTAGGGCTTCTATTACGAGCACCCTGAAAATCATGCTAGGGCTTATTTTCCAGCTAGGTCTTATTTTCGGGGAAACACGGTAGTATCTGTACATTGGCTACCGAATGTCTATTCAGTGAGTGTCTGCCGAATGAATGAAGGAATGAAAAGGTGAAGGAACAAAAGGAAGAACACGGGGCCCATTAGGGAGTTAGAGCGTAGCTTCCTCTGGCTGCAGCTTGGCCCAGCACCAGCGCGCTCATTTTCAAATGTCTCTCTCTTCTTGTCCTTCTGTTTTTTGCTCAGACAAGACTGAGAACGGCGAGGCATATCAGAGGAAGAAGGCGGTGGCCACGGACCTTCCGGAGGGCCCCGAGGCCCGTGCGCCGTCTCGGGGGAACCCGGCCGTGCCTGGCGGCAGCAGCTGGAGGAGAATCGCACTGCTCATCTTGGCCATCACCATCCACAACATCCCAGGTGAGGCCGTGCCCTCGAGCGGTCCAGCCAGCTGCCTGGAGGCCCCCTCCCTGTCAGCTCAGCTGCCTGGCTGGCAAGGGGGATGGGCACTCGTGATGCTGGGGGGAGGGGAGTGCAAACCTCTCTTGTCTTGACTGTTGGCGCTACTTGTTCTAGGTTGATTATTCTATGTTAAGACTTCCCATTCCAGCTACTTCAGACAGTGTCACTCCTGTTTCCACCAGTGAGTTCCTTGCGTGACATATTTGGCACCAGCTCGTTTGGAGCATAACTTCCCCCCTGTTGCATGATTGCCGTGGAGGGCGCCTTCCATAAACACAGGCTCCCGGGTCTGCGTCATGCTCTTTTCAAATACCGAGTGCAGCACAATTTAACACCGATGTCCGTCTCACGTGCTGTCCTTAGGCGGGACGTCATTCTGAAATGCCCTTACTAACCCTTTCCTTTCAGCATTTTGGAGTCATTAGTTTGGTGTCTTTGGTTCTATTTTAATTGAAAAAAAAGTATTGGTGTTCTATGTCAAAAAATACATGTTTCATTTAGTGTAACTAGGAAACACTGATAAGGATAAAAAAGAATAGATACGAATAAAAAATAAATTGAGGGGACCCGGGGAACTCCTTGGGTTCCATTGTGGAATTGCAGTTCTATTTACTCGCAGGTTTATCTTGACAGGTTACTTGAGGCTCGTCTATGGGATGTTGGTAATGCTACTACTGAGATAACTGGGGTGTTGCTTATAAAATAAGCGGCACTTATTTTGATAAATAGGATGCCATCCATGTACATATGTGTACATGTATGCATGTGTGTGTCTATGTATATTTTAGTCCAGTACTTGGGCCCGATGAGCACTTGGAAACCCGGTAGCTCTTACTAGCATTCATAGTATTCCTGGCCTCCTTTCTGGCTGTGACTTCCTCAGTCCTGAGTTCTTACATGTTCTGATCTATCCCTTGCTGTTTTGGAGCTAGAGTTTGAGTAATAACGTTGCCCGGGGAGTGTCCGTGGGTGATGTATTACCCGAGTCCTTGCAGAGTTCATGATGTCAGGCTGTGACCCCATTACAGGTGCAGTGACTTGACTGGGCGACGCTGGCTAGAGGCACGTATTTCTCTCCAAAGCTCTTATGGATGTCATTCTGTTACCTTCTGGCTTCATACCATGGAAGCAAAGGCCATGGCCAAACCGAGTTTATTCCTCTGTGGGTAATTCAATAGTCTTTTGTTAACGTGATAAAAATTTTTTTTTTTCCTCTTCTTTGAGGAATGAAAATGTCAGTGTTATATGTTCCAGAATATATTAAATCTGCCTAAAACACTGTGTGCAGTCACTTCTGAAGCTCAGACCTTCCTCTAGATAAGAAGCATTTCCTTCTGCTATTTCTATCCTGATCTTAGGAATTCCTGTCCTCTGATCCTACAGGCTGGGTTGCCCAAGTGTTTCTTTAGCCTCTGTGTCTCTCATATCCTCTTGGCCCTTTCCCTTTGAGTCATCAGTAAACTCTTTTTTCCTTCTTTTTTTTTTTTTAAATTAGTTTCAGGTTTTTTGAAACCTAGTGCAAAACAATGTACTAGTTAGAGATTTACACCCCTCGCAAAGTGATAACCCCCTCCCCCAATCTACTACCCCTCTGTCATTGTATATAGCTGTTACAGTTCCACTGACTGTTCCCTATGCCGTACTCCACATCCTGTGACTATATTATATATTAAATTATAGTTGGCCTTCCGTATTATTCAGCTTCAGCTTCAGGTGTACAGCGCAGTGGTCAGGCATCTACACCGCCCATGAAGTGGTCTCCCTAATAAGACAAGTATCCATCGGATACTCTACAAAATCTTTACAACATTATTGATTATATTCCCCAAGCTGTCTTTTGTACCTTCGTGGCAATCTTGTGGTTACCAATTTGTACTTTCTAATCCCCCCATCTTCTCCCTCACCCCCACCCATGAGTAAACTCTTTTGGTTGGTTTTTCTAAAGCTTGCTGTTGAGTATGCCTTAGGGTGAAGTCTTATGCGGGACCCCAACGCACAAAGCTGACCAGTGGGTTTGCCTGGGGGAAACTCTGGTCACACTCATCCACCGTATCTTAAAGGCGCTTGTTGGAAGACCGAGGGCTCCGCATAGGACAACTTGGAAGTCTCGTCAGTCACTTTCGACCTGTTAAAAGCTAATCATTAGAGAAGTCACTTATGCCGTCTTTTTGGTCATAATAGTAGCTGTTGCTCTGCCATTCGGGACCTCCCTTTCACCAGTTGAAAAAGAACAAAGACCTGACCAGTGCGTTCAGAGCCAAACAAACTAACTCTTCTGGCCTCAGTGGGAACTCTGTCTTGCTGCAGAGCAAAACGGTGTTCTAAGATCTAGGTTTCGTAGCGTTGGGCTTTGAGGACCGAGGAATAAGCTTTCCTCTGACGGACCCCTTCTCACATCACAGCTGCCACTGCCCTACTGTGTTCCCATGTGCTCGGTCGGAATTGTTCCCCGACTTATTTGGATAGGAGGTCGGGGAGAGTCAGAGCCCACTCTCGTAAATAAACATTGACTGCAGCGAGAACTTGGGTTAAGGCCAGAAACAAAAGAGTTTTAGCAGGAAGATGGTTGCAGTGACACCAAAATTTGATGATTTTAAGTCAGCATGAGTTCAAATATGACTTGTGTCATGTCAAGAGACCCTCTTCTGGATCTTGGCACCTCCAAGCCCGAGTTCAGCCTAGTGTCTCTTTTATGGTGAATGCAGAGGTGCCTTTTGACATGAGGACCAAATGGATCCTAGGACTCTGAACTGAGCTGGCTTCTTGGGCGGCGGGTGGGCATGGTCACTGGCTCACTAAGCTGAGGAGCCGCTGGCTTGCCTGGATCCAGAGGCTCGGGGCGGGGGGAGGGGACATTTCTGCCCCAGTTTTGCCTTTATCAATCTCATTTTAATAAAGTGTTCTAGGTACTTGAGTTATATCAGTCATAAAACAGACCAAGATCCCTGGCCTCTTGCAACTAACATTATAGCAGGGGAGATAGACAATGATCGTAGTAATGATTGAATTCTGTATTGTGTTACAAGGTGGTGAGTGTGATAAAGAAAGAAAGGGTCCCGTGAGGCAGAGGAGAGGGTACAGTGTTACAGAAAGGAGTTGCAAATTTTACATAGAATGGTCAGGGTGGGTCTCATGGAGACTTCCTTGCATTTGAGCCAGCCATGCAGATCTCTGGGGGACTGTGAGTGTTCCAGGAGGAGGGAGCCACCAGTGCAAAGGCCCTGAGGCAGGAGCATGTCCAGCATCTATAAGGAGAAGCCAGGGGTTCTAGAAGTAAGAAGGAGACAAGGGCAAGGTAAGGGCAGGGAGATCCGCCCGTCCCAGGGGCCACTCAGATGCACTGTAAGGATTTTCATCGGGAAATGAGCCACTCCAGGGTTTTAAACAGAGAAGCATGTGATTGGACTGGTGCTGAGTTCAGACTGGACTTAGGAGGGGGGAGGGGAGAAGCAGGCAGACCTGTGAGGAAGCTGCTGGTGGCGACGCCGGTGGCCCAGACCAGGCTGGTGCTGGAGGTGGTGCGAAGGCCTCCTGTTCTGGTGTCTGGCGAAGGGGTGGTGGCCAGCTGGGTTGACTGATGGATGGGACGTGGGTGTGAGGGAAAGAGGGGCCAGCAGGATCCTGAGGTTTCAGGGCTGACCAGCTGCAAAGACGGGGAGTTGCCATCAGCTGAGACGGGGAAGGCTGCTGCAGCGGCAGCAGGTTTTAGAGGGGATGTCAGGAATCCAGTGCTGGACCCTGGCGTTTGGCTGCTGTTGGACATTCAGGTGGGAGCACTGACTAGGCCGCTGGGGGCATCAGTTGGAGATCGGGGAGCAGCCTGGACTAGAGGGGTACATTTGTGAATCACTGGTTTATACATGTTATTTAAACCCATGACGTGGGTGAAATCACCCAGGGCCTACATACCAATACTCGTGTCTCCGAAGACCCCCCTGGGGCTGCTTCCTGGGGTCTGAGCGTCTGACTCCAATCTGAGGAACTTTCTTGCTGCCAGTTAACATTCAGCAGCTCCACGCCCTTTAATGAGAACCGTTTGCAAGAGCTTATCTGTCACCAGCTCACCTTTGAAAAGGTCTCCTCTTTAACATTATCCTTTATAGTTTATTAAAAATTTAACGAGAGCTTTGACATTCCCCGAGACTCTGGGTTTTCAGATAGACTTGTCACAGGGACTAACTGGATAATTGATTTTTTTTTTTAGGTAATTATTAATGTTTGTTCGGTCACAAAATAAACGACCTGTGGATGTTTTTTAATTAAAAAAAATTTTTTTTTTTGACATGGAAGTAAAAAGGAAAGCTTGTTAGCGAGTGTCCTGTCTCCTGCAGGTTTGTGGAGTGTGAGGGCACAGGTGTCGACATGTGCACACACCCAGGGCACTTGGGTTAGTATAATAGGTAACTTACATGTGCAAGGACAAAGGCATCCTTAGTCTCCGGTGACTCCGTAGGACCTTGATGAGAGCTCCGCCCCCTCCATCATAGACTGGCGCACACACAACAGCGTGCAGGCAGTTTGGGGTGTTCACAGACCTCGTGAAGACCATCTGTCCACAGCTCCAGCGCAGGAAAAGAACCCCCACTTTAGAGAAACAGATGTACAGGTGTGCAGGCAGTCTAAAAGTTGGGTTGTTGGAAATGTCATGATGCATTTTTGCAATGAAAAACATGGAAAAAATACGTCATGACTTTCCCGACAGCCCAATATTTCAGGAGGAAATGGTGATGACTGATGGCGGGTGGCCAGCCACCACAAGCCCTGCTGGCATAGGCAGAGGACGCAAGCGCTCCTGAGGGTGGCGATGCCTTATCTCTTCGTCCGATGTGTCTTCTCGGTGGCAGTAGGCTGGGGTGCTTTAGTTCCTTGGAAAACGATGTCCCGAGGAAACCATGTGTTTTCTGTGAAACCAGCCCCAGACTGAGCACACTGTCTCTTAACGTGCTTTGCTTGCAAAG